AAAAGGAGCATTTCTGAAAGTCTCCAAGGACAGAAAAGCTAGCAACCAGTGAGTTATTTGTGCAGGTTCTGAGAACCTTGTTACAAAAGCCGGTGGGGGAGACAGAGGGTGCCTCCTGGGTATCTTGCACCATCTGTGGGCAGGGTATCTGAGTGACGGGACCTGGGCTTCTTGGGACTTTGCAATGAATTCTGGAAAACACCCACGTTACCTTCAACACCTCTGAGGTGGTCTTTTGCTAGGAAGTGTTGTGTTTTGCTGCGATTTCTTTCATCTTTACTCTACAGTGTATTTCCTTGATTATCTCTCCTGGGTATCAGGCCTCATACAACTGGTCCACGAAGAGCTGATCAGTCTGTGGGCTGTGGCCATGGTGTCTTGATTCACCAACTTGTTTCGCTCATTTTCCTGGACAACTGGCCCAATAGCACCCCAATTCTATCTGGTGGCAGCTCCTTCCAATGAGATTAACTCTCCCACCCCTGCCTCTGCTTTTTTAAAATAAGCTTTGCCCCTTCTACATCCTGGAGATGGCTCTCATGGACACCTTTGTGCCATGTGCAAATTCTTGAAAAGCACACTTCGTTTTAATAGAACGTTGACATTCCCTTCTCTCAGGAATCGACATTCCTGCCTTAATGGTGAGCCCAGGTGTTCTCCAAATTAACAAACAGTAGTTAAGATAAAAATAAATGACCTAAATCAGTAGTTCTCAGTCCTCTGTGCTCAACAGAATTCCCTGGGAAGCCTTTGGAAATGACAAACCCAGGTCTCCACCTCTAACCAACTGAGACAGGGAGCCAGTCCCTGGCTCCTTTTGAGCAGAGCCCCACCCAGGGGGTGATTCTAGCTCCCTAGGTCCAAACAATTAAATGAATAAGTAAATCTGCATTAGTGCTTCAATTTGAGGTATACAATGTCACTTGTTTTGAAATTACCAGTGCCTGGGGTTGCCTGTAATTCTGACAGTCCCACAGCACCCTGTTTTTCAGGTCTCCCTACAACAGAGCTTCCCGTCAAACTCCTGGCATCTGGGCACCCCCTGTAGGGCCACTCCTCCAGGTTTTCAGGGTCTGGCTTGTATTCTTCCTCAAAACATCCCTCCGCACTTGGCCAAGGTCTACCACCCTGTAAAGGCCAGCTTACAAGTCACTGCCTCCGTGACACCTGGCAAATCATATTGCAATTATTTTATGCAGTGTGGATCTGGCTACATTTAAATCACGTGACTGTGTCCTGAGGGGGCAAGGATTCAGGGCATGTCTCTTCCAGCTCCACCGGTTGATGTATGTATCTAGCGTGTTACACTTTGGAAACCCCAATATCAGTAATTGCTTCGGCATCCCAGCCCAGAAGAAGGCACCTGATTTAGGGTTATGAATTACCTCACGTAGACACTAGATTTATGTTCTGAACAGTGCCCATATCTTATTCCTTCCCCTTGAATCATTTTAAGGAAGAGCACGATGCACGATTTTTTTTTTTCTGTTTAAAATGAGGGTGTTCGGACTCTAAGCACATTACAGACATTTACATGAGCTCTACTGCGTTGACTTTTTTACATTCAGCGCAGCGTGTACTTCAAATGGGAAATACGCGAGTATCATTCCCTTTTCTTCACCCCTGGTGGTGTCTAAGTCCTGGGAAGCCAGCTCGCCGGCTCCCCGAATCCTGTAAAAGGGTTCAGATTATTTGCTGCCAATGCTGTCTGCCACACCAGCGCCTATTCCAGCTCCTACCCGGAAGGCAGAGGGAGGAAATCCAGCCTTCCTGGGATAGAAAACACCGACGCACCCTGAAATAGGCCACGAACTTGAACATCAGCAAGATGAGGGACTGGGGAGGGACAATAAAATAGCATTTTAGATGAAAGTTTGATTTTAAGAAATTAAAAGCGTGACTTTTGGTCCTCTGGCTAAAGTTTCCCTACTTCTTTCTCAAGGCTGGAATTTTGTGCAGATGATAGAGGAGCACTACTGTTAATACTGGGAATTAATTAAAATTTGCTTAAATTAGGAAGGTGGCTGGTAGGTTTGGCTATTTTGTCTCGCAGTCCCTACTACACGGATTGCGATTTATATCTGGGCATAATACAGCGCAGTTAGCTTTCCTAGGGTAACTGCTGGTGAGAAGCGACGCCACTCTTGGGCAGGAGCCCACACCATGCAGGCAGCCCCATGCCCAGAGGGACGGATTGCGTCCTCGCCCAGGAGCCCCGGTTCTCCTCCCACAGTCGGGTCCGCGCTGCAGGGTGCGGACCCCGCGCTCGCCACTGGAGGGCGTCTGGACGCTTCCAAACAGCTCCGAAGCGCCTGGAAATCCCGAGGCCAGCGCTGGAGAGCGAGAACGTGATGGATGCTTTCGTTCGGCTCCTAAGCAAAAGCGAATTCAGGTAGCTTTGGAGCAAAACTAAACCGCCTGCCTTCTTGGGATCGGCCCATTCCACCGAGGCTGCGAACTCCCCGGAGAGCAACACCGGGGCGGGTCTCGAGGGGCCCGCGGCTCCGCAGCGCGGGAATGGGGCCGGCTCGCAGGCTCGGGACGCCTGGGGACGTGCTCGGAGGCGCGGGAGCGCGCGGCCGCCCGGCGCTCGCGCCCGGGTGGCTGCCGAGGACCGAGGCGTGCGACCTGCCCCAGGAGTCCGGCAACGCGAGGCCTTTTCCCCTAAGCGAGGAACTCCTGCCCCCTCCACCCGCACCGGGCTCGCTCGAGGCTTTTACTGTGCGGGGCGGGCGGCCCGTGCGCCCAGCCTCAGGGTTGCGGTGAAAACGGTGCAAGGTGTCCTGGAGGGGCCGGACTGCGATCACAGCACGCCGCGATGTCCCTGATTGTTCAAAATCGTGTCCGCACAACAGCAGTGTAAGGGGCAGCGCTGCCTTCCGCCGCGCGCCCCTTGGGTCCCCTCCCCGGTAGACAGAGGGGTGTTGCAGGGCGCGGGAGCGAGGCTCGGGCTTCCAGTTACCCCGGCGCGGGCGCTGCACGGACCAGGCGGGGACACACCGCACCGGGCGCGCCATCTGGGACCTGGGAGCCCCTGGGGACCTTCACGGGAGAGGATCCGCGCGCCGGCCACGGGCTGGGAGACCACTTTTCCAGGGACACAGATGTCACGCCATTCCTCGGCCCCGGACGGAATTCAGCCTCCAAAGGGTTACACGTGGCTGCGGGAGTCGGGCGCCGCGGCACTCGCAGTAATTCAATTAGTCAGGTTTCTGGAAGGTGGGGCGGGGGGGGGGGCGCAGGAGGAGCGGAGCAGGGAGGAGGCTGAGGAAAACGCCTCTCTCCCCAGGAGCGGACCAATCGGGTGGGAGGGGAGAGAGAGAGAGAGAAAAAAAAAAAAACCCGAGCAGTGAGCAAACAGCAGGCCGGTCCCTGACTGGCTGCTCCAGCCACCCCCCTACCCTCCCCAAGTAAACTGCTTGGGGGAGGAATTAAAAAAAAAAAAAAAAAAACGCAGCCACATGACCCGGGCCGCGGAGGCCGCGCAGGCTGGGCGGGCCGGCGGCGCCTCCCCCGCGCGGTCCGGCGCTCGCAGCCGCGCCCCGCGCGCCCCGGCGCAGCCCCCGCCCCCTCCGCGGTCGCGCGCGCGGCCCCGCGCTCCGGAGAGGCCGCTGCCGCCGGGTCGCCGCCGCCGCCGCCGCCGGCTTTACACGCAGGTCATTAACGAGGGGGCGTGCCCGAGGAGATTTTTCCCATAAAGCATTTTTTCTCCTTTTTTTTCCCCTCCTTCTTTTGCAAAACTGACTTTTACCCCTGCCCACTTCTCGCCAGTCGTTTCCACCCCTCCAGGGCTGTGCTGCTGCTGCCGCCGCCGCCGCACTCAAGTTTATTTATTTTCCCGCCTGGGCAGGGGCTTGAGGATTCGGGTAGTGGCTTCCCCCTCCAGTCGCGGCCGCGCGTGAGGAGGGAGCGAGGAGCCGCGGCAGGAGGCCCGGGCAGGTTTTTCTGATGTAGTCTTCGGGGAGGTGCCGCTCGCTCGTGCGCGCTCCCCCCGCTTCGTCTCCGGCCATTTCCCACTGATTGATGCCTCTCTACAAGTTGCTGGGCTTGGGGCCGGACGCGCCCGAGTCGCAGGGCCACTTGTGAGCGCTCGCCCGCGGCTCCCGGGCACCGCGCGTGGGGCCCCGGCTCGCACCCGGAGACTGACAGCAGCCCGTCCAGGAGTTGAGGACCCGCTGAAAGTGACTGTTTCCCGTGGGCCGCCCTGCAGCACCGCCGCGCGGGGCTTTGGCGTCGTCCTGCGGGCTCGGGCATCCCCGCTCCGCCAGGCCGGCCGGTTCGCAGCCTCTGCCCTCCGCTCGCCCGGGTGCGCCCGCCGCCGGCCACGGGAAGCGCGCCCGCGAGATCCCCGCGGCTCGCCCGCCGCCGCCGCCGCCGCCCGACTCCGCCGGGGGACCTGCGGGCAGACGCGCAGAGCCAAACTTTTCTTTGAGGCTTTCGAGACAGGACCGCTCCTCGCCAGCGCCAGCTGCCGCCGGAGCAGCCGCTCTCGGACGCGGCGTGGGATCCCCGCCCTGCTCGGCGCACCGCACCACCTACCACTTCTCCGAGATCCCCCGGGGGTCGCCCGGCTCCGGCACAGAGGCGGCTGCGGAAGAGAGAGAAGAGAGGGGGATCTCTCTCGCTCGCTCTCTCGGACTCCCGGGGCCTGAAGGCGCCCTCGTCCTCCTGCACTTTCCCATCGGCCGCCAAAGTAACTTGGAGCGAAGCGGAGCGCGGTGCGAGGGCCCCGGGCGGCGGCGGAGCCGTACGCAGCCCGCGGCGCCGACGCTGAGCCGGGCCCGGCGGGCCGGTGTATGTCTCCCCTCGGCCGCGGCGCGCAACTCCCGGTGACTGTGCAGCGCGCGCCGCCGCCCGCCCCGACCTGCGCCGCCTGCGCCGCCTGCGCCGCCGCCGCCCGGCCCGGCACTCACCTCCCTCTCCCGGGCTGACCAGCCCGCCGCCGCCGCTGCCGCCGCCCGAGACTCCGCGCAGCACCCCTTCCCCCGCCTTCGCCGCCGCCACCGCACAGACACCACACACACACACACACACACGCGCGCACGCTTCTCTCCATCTTGCGAGTCCTTTTTCCTCCCCAGCCCTCCAGTGGGGGTGCGAGTTTGTCTGGATCCCCCACCCCCGCCACTTCACCGCCTTTTCTTCTCGGTCCCTCACCCCTCCCCAGCCTGGTGTGCGCCCCTGTCCTACCTCGCCCCCTTCATTTTTATTTATTCATATTTATTTGGAGTCCGCTCGCTCAATCCCTCGCTCGCTCCGTCCCCTTCCCTCCTCCCGCCGGCCCTCGCTCCCTCCCTCCCTCCGGATCCCTGCTCTCTCCCCGGAGTGGCGCGTCGGGGGCTCCACCGCTGGCCAGGCGTGATGTTGCACGTGGAGATGTTGACGCTGCTGTTTCTGGTGCTCTGGATGTGTGTGCTCTGCCAGGACCCGGGCTCCAAGGCCGTCGCCGACCGCTACGCAGTCTACTGGAACAGCAGCAACCCCAGGTAAGGCGGTGGGGGACGGAGAGTCGGGGCTACCCGGGCTCGGAGCCCTGCGGAAGGAGCGGCGGCGGCGGGGACCGGCGCGCACCAGCCGCCGGCCGCGCGCACCCCGGAGCCTGCCTCACCCGGGCGCAGTTGGCGTGGAGCCGCCCGTGGGAAGCGCACCCGTCGCGCCCCTCTTTGTTAAGCAAGCCACCGCGGAAAGGCCGGGTGCCCCTGGGTGTCCCCGAGGCTGCCCGGAGTCGCTGTCTGTTAGGGCGCAGGGAGATTCGGAAAAGGGCGGGAGCCGAGGAGTTGGGACTTCGGCACTTCCCGGCACGGGCAGGCTGGCCGGCCGGCGGCATCAGCATCCAAGTGCCGGGCTTGGGCGCCGGGAGCCCCGGGTCTGCTCCGCCACAGCTCCCGCCCGGAGCGTGCGTGCGCCTGGGCTGCGGGGAGAACCCGCCAAACATCCCCAAAGTTTTTTTTTTTTTCTTTGTGTGTGTGTGCGTATGTGTGTATGTTTTAATTTTTACCCTGTCTTTTCCCGGTGCGCGCAGAGAGCGCACGGGCTGGGGGAAGTGCGGGGGGCTGGGAAGCGGAAGCTTTAGGTTTTTATTTTCCTCTTTAACTGCGAGGAATTCATTCGGCCCCGAGTCTGTGTGGGCCTGGCGCGCTTGGCAGCGGAGGGGATTCCGCCACCTCCGGCTCTGCCTCCCCCCGCCCCACCCGGTGGGTTCAAGGTGCCAGAAAGTTTGAGCTAATGCCGGGTTACGTCATGGGTGAGGAGCGAGCTGCAGAGTTGGCCGAGCCGGGCGGTGGGAGCTCTGCGCCCGCGGCCTGGCGGTGCGGAGCCGGAGAACGCTGTGCGGTTACCTGGCACCCTTCTGCCGGCGTCCCCGAAGCCCGCCGGGTACGCGGGAGGCCAGAGATGGGCGCCCGGGGCGGCCCAGGCGCGCGTGCTGGACCCCGGCCAGCAGCGGACGTGCAGTGTTCTCGGACCCTGGAAGTGGGGTGGACAGAGGTTATCCCCGGCGTCGGCGGACCCCTCGCGGCTCGGAGCGCTTCTGTGCGCAGCGGGCGGCCCCGCCGGGCCCGGATAGCTCGGCTTCCCCGGGACAGAAGCCGGTTTTCCTGCTGCGGGCTGCTCTGGGGGGCCCGCCTAGGAGGGAAATAGTGTGGCCGTCCCTACCATCCCAGGTTTTTACCCCGGACTGGAGTGGAAGGTGGGAGGAGAGAGGCGGGAGGCCGAGAGGTGCGCCTGTGGTGGCCGCGCGCCTGGGCGCCTCCGGTCCTGCCGTCCGCTACGGCCCCCAGCGCTGGCCTCCAGCCTCCGCTCGGTTTGCGGGCGCGCAATGCTCGCCCGGATGAAGGTTTTCCCCGGGTGCGGTCCCCGAGCTGTCGACCCGAGAGGGAGCAGTCAGTCCCCCGCTCTGGCTGTTAGGGCAGTCAACCCGGGTCGCCCTGGTCCCAAACGCAGGCGCCTGGCAGGAGTGGAGCGGTCCCTTCGAGTTTGGCGTGCAAAAAAAAAAAAAAAAAAAAAAATCACCCCAAAGTGTCCTGGAGGTGGGTGGCAGGGAGCGGGAAGCCCTTTCTTTCCTCTTTGACCTGCCACTTACCACTATTAGGGAGAGAGAAGAGAACCCGGGCTGCCGGGGGAGATGTCTTTTATTAAAGCTGACAGAGCAAATAGAGCAAGCTTTCCAGTTGTGATGGTGTTAAAAGCAAGGCTCATTATGTCGGTTGGTTTTTATTCCCTTTTGGGCATTATTAGACAGCATATATGAAAAAGAGGAATGTCTGTTTCTAAACTTGAGCGCCGGTCGAATAAAGCAACGGTGAACCGCGCGGTTGCATTTGGGACATTCTGCTCTTGCCTTTGCGCTCCCACCCGGAACTTGTCCCATTGTCGTCTTTCCTCGTGGTGTTTTCTACTTGGGCATTCAGTCTCTTTTGGGTTACAGCAGAACCAACCTCACGGGCTACCTTAACACCCAAACCCCCTTAACCTGTAGTGCTATAGTCTGAGTTAGTTCGTGGATGTCTTATCTGAGGTTATCTCTATTTTATGCTTTTGATACTGTTGTTTGGTTTGAGATTAGCTCATTGATTTTTGTCACAGGTCATGTTTTTCATAAATCTGCCCTGCAGAACACCCTCCTGCTCAGGGTGCCCCCGTGGCTCCGAACCTGCCCAGGCAAAGTTCATCTACAGAATTTTAAAACTCCAAACATACAGCCTTAAGTCAGTATTCTCACTTGAGCTTTGTCGAGATGCTTTACTGTGTGATCATTATCACTTTCATAATAACCAAAAGACCTTCCTCACCCCCCGGAGACTCAGTTCTGATATTTCATACTCTTTGGGGTTTATGAAGGCATTTTAGCTCGGTGGTATCACAAACTTATCCTTTCAAAGCAGTTTTACCCCTGAAATGTTTAATTCAATCATACTTTCTTGATGCATTAAGGAAAAAAAGTAAACTTGGAAGTAATTTAAAAGAGGCCAAATGAAAAGTAAGTACTTAAAAATAAAAGTTGTTCCCAAAAGATTGGGAATATTTCAGAAAACTTACCCTACATGGGTTTACGGAATTTGACCAATTCATAGTTCCACATTGTCCCCTCATCATGCATGTATTCATTTTGTAAAGTGAGTTAGCTGTGCCTTTTGGTTTTATGTAGGGACCTGTGGAGATTTTCCTAGTAATAAGGTCAAAGGACTTAAGTCTTTTGAAAACAAGTAGCCAACTTTAATTGCAACTTAAACAGACTTTCTATTTTTCTCAGAAGAAAAGCTCAGTAGCTACATAAAGCTGATAGATAATAATGGAATCTGTTTCTAAATGAAGTAAAGGTGCTTTACTGGGTACTAATAAATTAAGTTTGAGATTCTATTTGGGTAACACTGGAATTACATATACCTGCATCACGGAGTATTTTCCTGTGTAACTTGTGTTCCAAGTGGCTTCTGCAGCCCATAGGAGTTTTTCTGCCACCCTGAGTTGCTTTATTGCCTCTCTTTTGACACCTTAAGCATCTAGACATTTAAATTCACAGGAAAAAAATTATTAAACTGACTTGCTGTCAGAATAGCTTTATATTAGGAACATTAGATTCTATGTTCCTAGGTATTCACTTCTGGGAAGTGGATATTCAGTTTTTAAATGCTGGTAGCTTTTTAGTCCTCACCAGTACATATTGGGTGGTGGACCCCAGTGATTTTATGGTTTGAGTTGGCACGAGTTGATGAAATCACAACTGAGAACTATCAGGCTGAATGGAACTCCTGGATGATAATATTTCCCTCAAGGTGTCCGCCGTATTTCTAAATTTGAAAACTTGTATGTGTTTCACCTGGAAGTGTGGATAATAGAAAGCTCCTTTTTAGGTTAGGCTGAATTCTGAACTGAAATGTCAGTATTAGGGAGACATGAACATGAAGATCCAAGGAAGATACACTTATTTGTCCTTAATTTCTTTAAGGATACAAAAAGCTTTTCAGTAGCAACAGTAGACTTTTAGTTAAGAACTGCTGTTACATTCTCCTGCATAGCTCTGCCTGTAGAGATAGCGGACTGAGTGTTAAGAGCATGCCTGTTCATTGAAGCTTGCTAGGAACAGTCTGGTTCTCCCCAGAAGAGCATGCCTTTCTGCACTGTGTGGTGTGTATACTGAAAAGCGCTTCTTGGATTCTTTTCACCATTCGCCAAAATGGTGCTAGCGTAATTAAACGTATCTCCTACTGGTTGGCGTTATGGGGACAATAATAAAATAATCCCGAGGCAAGTGCACGTGTAGCCAACACGCTTTTAGGAAGTTGTGTTTGTTCCCTTGGAGCTTCTTTCTCTGATAAGGTTTCCATACCATCATTGTAAAAGTCTGTTTTCTTAAGGGGGAAAAATATCTGTGTCATTCATCAAGGATTTATTAAACTTTAACCTAATTAGATGTTTTCCTTGGACTTTTTCAATTCTTGTAGGTACCTTAAATGAAACATTTCATTTTGGAGTAGTGGGTAATTGCCACCACTTAGTTGTGTTAACATGTAATCTTAGAGTTGTGAAAGTAAGTTGAGTTCTAGGTCACCACCCCCAAATCCTCTAGCAGAGCGGGTCATCTGTATTCAGCTAAGTAGAGAGAAATCTTAACATTTTTTTTCCCCCAATCATATTCCCTTGAGTATTTTTCTTCTTTCAAAATTCACTGGCTTCATTTTTAAAAGTCTGAACCATCATCATTTTGATATCTGTATACCAGTATATCGACACCGTGCCTTTTCACTGACAAATACATGACACCCACATGATTCAGATGCAAAAAAAAAAAAAAAAAAAAATGTTGTGAGGCAAGATGGCAAGGGAAACTTGGGGGTTGCATTATCACCAAACTTGTAAAGGATTTCCTTTCGCTGTGAAAGGTTAAGCATTTATTTTAGATTTTGGAAGCAGAAGTGTTCTCCAAGTAAAAGATATTCTTTAGCATCTGAACTCCACTCACTCTGAGCCTCACTGTAATGTGAGTTTATCAGATGTATTAGGGTTGATTTTATTATTTTGATATTTTGAAATCGTAGTGTTTGTAAACACCAGGATAATGGTACAGCAGTTTGACTTAGATTAAAGCCTATGTTTTCATGCTTATCCATTTACAGAAAACCTAGAGTGAACTTTCCCTTTTTTTAGAAATCCAGAAATTTGTAAAAGAGAAACACGGTTCCTATTTTTTGACCAGTATTCCCTAGCGTTTTGGAAAGTAGGCTTGGTTATTGAGATGTTACGTTCCAGCCACTTCGTGTATTTATAAGAAACTCCAAAACAGTCCACCGTCCATGTGTTTTAGGTGCTTGGAACATCAGTGCTGTCCCAGGCGCACTTGCCTGGGACAGTTCGGTCTAATTTGGCATTTCCAGTGTGAGACCAGCAGCAGTAAAGGACTTGTGATTAAAAGCATCAGAGAGAGTCTGTAGAAGTTCTACTGCAGTGTTTGGTGACTTGCACGGTATTAAGGAAAGCATGGACTCAA